GTCAAACAATAAAAAGGCAGAGGGGAATCGCTGACAAAGGCGTTACCTCTTGTCAAAAGAGGATAAGGCTTTTGTTCTGTAAGATTTTGATCTCCAAGCTTGACTTAATTTAGTTTCTTGGTTATGAGGTTATAAAAGGGAGAGAAAGAAACGTCGACTGGTTGTTCAGAGTTGGACCACAAAACGAAATCAATTAACTTGTAAACAAAGAAGAATTTGAACCCTTACATTTTGCTCCCGAGCACTCTCGCTTTAAAAACTAATGACATTGACCTTCTTAATTATGAGGTCACCACTAATAAGTGTCATCGTGGCTTATCGTGTTGATGGGTTCGTTTAATTTTCAAGATCGAAGCGGTGGATTGTCGGCTTCGCAGCGTAAAGTTTCATGCAAGCGATAATAATAGGAAAGAACTTCAGTCGATCAAACGTAGAACAACTGAATCGAAACAAGCAGGACCAAACATAAAATCCATTAACTACACTAAAAAGAAAAGCACTTAAACAACCAATTATCTATAGTAATACCTGTGTCAGCCATTCCAATGACATAATTTGAAATCATTAGTAATTAATTAAACATCAGCTGGTGGCTAGTCCAGCCGTTAGGCCATGAATACAATATATCAAGCGAAGGTTTTTTTTCCTTCACTAGTCCCACTCAGCCTTTACACACTACACATTATTGGGCTTTAAGCAAATATTTTATTCGTAAAGTTACAGCTTCGAGTCTTGGTCCCTTAAGCAGCCACCTCAAATCCAAAGGTAGGATAGGAATTTTTAAAGAATATCGCTGATCGGCAAAAAGGACATTATTTTTCTTTTTAACTGACGCTTCTTACTAAGGGGTATAATTTAGGGCTTGAGGAGAGATATTTGTTGGAGAGTGATAATTTGTTTTCAAGTTAACCCACTGAAACTGCGAGCATGTATTTACTAGAATGACGATACATCATGGGAAGAAAAACCAATATTGCACTCATTGCTTCGCGATTCGTGCGATATCGGTTTTCGCGTGCAATTTAATGCGGAATTTCCCTGTTAAGTAATGAATTTTCCTATAATAGAGGTTGTATCCTTAGCTGGAAAAATGCCGGAAGTGAATAAAGCCCGGACTGAAACGTAGGTAACGAAACTTACTAGGTAAGTTGAGCCCTTGGTTTTAAGAAAGACAAAAAGCTATAAACTTTTCCGATGTAACCAAGCCTCTCACCGGGACTGACAGGCATTACAGTTAAATAGTTTACGTATGACGGCTAAACATTCAAAAGTTAAAAGTTGTTTTTTCCAACACTTTTTGTTTTATTGTCTTAGGGGTAACCTCCTTGACAAAGAAAACAGTCAAAAGTCAACGGAGAAGTCTCAAAACGTTTGTTTTTATTTGTTCGAAATGTCTGTTCTAAAACCAGACTTCCAAACTGAGGTCATGAGGATAAATCAGTGTTCATTGAATTTAATGAAATCCGGAAAAAATATAGTACTCTCCCACATGTTTTACTTTCTCAAGGTAATTCTATTTACTTCTTCGGCTTAACAGTTGTAACCAGTATTTATTGTTGTGCAATTATCGACGTTATGTGGATAGGTGAAAGGAACAGAGTTTGTTGCATTCCTCAATTTTCATTGTTTCTAGGTTTTCCCCTTTGTTGCGGTTATTGTTATTTTCTTTTTGATTTTAAATTTTCAGGTACTGTAAAATGATTTTGAGTATCCTGGTTTTCATGTTGGTGCAAGGACAAGTGGTGAGTGATAAAAACCAAGGTTGAATAATTGGTTTCTCTAAGAAATTAATTTTATTTTTGGGCGATATGCACAACATCCGCTATCTTTGTTTTACTGACTCAGTACGTAATAATAAAACCAGATGTACCTAGTATCTTCGACTAAAATGTTTGGGAAAATTTCCTGAAATGGTAACACTCGTTCGCGTTCGTAATGATTCGGGACCGACATATCGTATTCAGTCTCCCAGGTTCCACACCCCTCCCCCCGACACTCTTCATTCCACTCCTTCCTACACAACCATTTTGTATATTCTCGAAAAGGAAAAGTTTGGGGTGCAGATTAGCCGCCAGCGGAGAGTTGTTGAAGATCGTTACTCAATGGCTATATGGAGCCAAGCATCGTAATATCAGATAGAGTGCTCAGACAAAAAATTGTTAGTACAACACATAGGGATCGCACACATGCCAGTGACCCGTTGACTAGCGCTTTGTGGCCGGGATAATGCTTTAAAAAAGTTGGCGAATCCGACAAACATGCGAAGTAAACATCTATTCCAGTGCTTAGTGCTCCATTTGCCGGTCCTCGCCAAGTGAGTGAGAGCCTTCTGTTAGACAAGTTACATCAGCGGTATAGGCCATTTCACGTAAGGTGCGCGGAAATTCGTAATCATATTTTGCCACCCTTTGTAAAAATCCTTACGCTAACGCCTGAAGCCAACATTGACATCCTCTCCAAGACTCTGGATACCAAACATTGACATTGTATATTTTTTAAAGACTTGAAAAACCTGTACCTTGTCTGGTGGCTCACATCCGTTTAACCCTGTAACTCCTGAGAGTGACTAGCGACCTATTTTCTCACTACAGAACCACGTCTAAATTTAACCGAAATTCTCCTTGTTAGCGCCACAGAAAAAGTATAAATAATAGAATAGAGAATGTACATGTTGATCTTAGGCCAAATAAAAGAGCACTATGTAATGCGTAAAATGTTTGTCACGAATACTGTCTGACAGGTGAGCGACAGCGAGCTCTTTCCAGTTTCCATGTTCGAGGTGGATTCTGGAGAACACCAGCCGATTGATCCGCAGAAAAACGACGAAATTGAACCCCTCCAAGGAAAAACCGCTACTGAAAGGTGCGAATTGTTGCATATACCATGAGCTTAGCTCATTAGTACATTAGACTGGTCTTCCAATTGCAGTCGAACCTGTATTAGCTCACTTCCGAGCTTATCAGATTTATCTTCTTTTCAACACCCGGCTCAGGAATGTAATGGCTCCAGAAATTGACGCTGATGTTCAGCTGTTGAAAACCAAAATTGCTGAGGATTATGGTTTCGTAAGGGATCCCAATGCAGTCCAGTGGAAGACACTACCAAGTTTTAAAGGTAAAATCGGAAAAGGAGGCTGGGCAGTAGCAGCTCGACTGGCAGAGCAATTCTTCAGAAACAACAACAACCAAGCAACACCATGGAAACATTTACTGGCCACACGAACCCCTATCAACCTCCTTTACATTACAGCGGCTAGATACCTTTTTGTAACCCACGTTCTTTGGGAAAAAAGTAGTAAAAAGTTAATCGCTTGTAAGGAAAATAGAGACATATACAGCGGCATTATTCAAAGCTTCGAGATCCCTGCAACTGGAGTGTGTTTTCCTTTACCTTATGGCAGCGCCACGTACAAATCAGACTACGACGTTGGGCTTATTGGACAAGATTCTGCGACCGTCACCAAGAGCTTTAACGAATATTTTCAAGAGGAATTCGGGCGACCTTCGGAGCTTGTATTTGATACAAATGTTTACGCCTACACTCTGGAATTCGCCATGCCCAGAATGTTTCCTAAGCTACTCAAAGCCGAAAACCGGTTTGTCCCTAGACTCGCGGAACTTGAGAAAAAGGCGTGGTTCCAAATGCAAGAATTGGCCAGTGCTTATTACAAGGTCTTCAAGTACAACGAAGAATTCTTCGCGGAAATGAGGAATGAAGCAATCCAACAAATGGCCAATAAAGAGAAGGCCAAACGTTTGGAAAAATGGCTGGCTTCTTTTGGATGTATGAACAAGCAGGTGGATTTGCGGAGAAACAAATATAGTTCACAAGCTAACTTCAGAAAAACGCACAACGCTTGGTACCAAAAGTATTTGGAAGACGTAGCAAAGAGAGGACAATATGACCCACGAGCAACAGGTAAATAGAGATCTGACAGACTAGAGATTGTTTCCGTCCTTTACCACGGTAAAGCAGTCAAAATGCGCGAGAGGTTCCACCCATTCTTATTCATTACGGTACTAATCTTCTCAACTCCAGTTTATATTCCTCATTAATGATGTGGGAAACTATTTAGAAACATCAAACTCCTCAAACTTTTGAGTTTTAGAAAACGGTTTAAAAAGTACCACGATAAATGAAAAAATTGGCGTCACTTCCTACACAACGCCTTTTGCTAAATTGGTAATAAGAAGACCCGAGGATTTAGTATCATATATGTAAGCATGAATTGACCGTTGTTTTTTTACAACAACGCTCTTTCCTAGGTAGCCTCGCCAAGGCCCTACTTTACGCTGCAGAGGCATATCATACTCGAGGCGCCATTCGGCACGTAGTACAGGGAATTCAAATGAAGGCGATCACCACGTGTCAATATCACACGCCGCTATCAACGTACGACCTGTGGGTATCGATGATTGAAAATTGGGGAGAAGCAAATAAGGAGTACCAACACTGTGGAAATATAAGCGTGGTGGAGTGCCTGATGAAGATGAGCAAGTACCTGTCGAGGATGTTTGACGCCATGCGAGTGATTCGCCGTTCCCGTCTGCCAAAGGAAGACAGAGAAGGATTGCTAGACTTCGGATCAACTAATGACCCAGAGTTCACCATAAACCTCCTCCTGCGATACAAAAGAAGTGACGAGCGACTTCCGTCAGTGGCCTATTATTTTTTAGGAGGTTTTTTGCAACAGTTCAAATGTAAAGTGAAACAATTTTATTGGAAATTTCCGGAGGCGTGCTTGAAAAAAATTCATAACGCAGTGAACGCCTACAATTCAATTTTGGCTTCCAAGGTGAACGAGATAAACTGATGGGTTAAAAATCTTAATGAACCCCTCGACCCGTGAAATTAACAGACATGTGGAAATGAAAAAATTCACCAACAAAAAAAATTGCATATTACCTAAAACTTCGTATAAAGAAACGTTCTCAAAACAGCGTAACCTAAAACATATTCTCTATGTACTCATTTCATATTTATCAAAACAGCGTAAACTAAAACATATTCTCTATTTACTCATTTCATATTTACTGTGTATCAAACAAGTCTTTACTTCTCTGTATTAAGGAGCTTTCAGATAAAGGGGAGCCAATATATACTCGTGTATTAAGATATTCAGTTCAAGCTGTTCTTTACCAGCACTGCATCTGGCCGAGAAACACCGAAGATTTCCTTGTTCCTAATGGCCGTGTGGCGTACAATTAGCACACAACGAGGGAGTTGGCATGAAAATCCATGGCTGTACTTCGGCCAAGTATGGATGTGCTCTATACTGTTCTATATACATTTCCTGAGGTGCTGACATGACAAGAACTTCTTTTACCAATCCAGAGTTACCATAGTTGTTGATAATTTCCATTATTGTCGTGACCTTAAAGTGTAGTTCAGGGGTGATATCTTGAGGAGAAATTAGATGTTAGTCATTCGTAGGGGTCAAAGGATTAGTATCATCACTAGCCAGTGAGAGCTCATGTTTAAATACAGGTGACCAGGCCGCTTGAAGCGCTGGAAACGCTACAGACCAAGTAAAAATTGGTTTTGGTTTTACGTTTGATTAGTTTGAGATGGTTGAGATTTTTTAGACCAGTCACAAGGCGAAGTAAAACAAAACCAAAGCAATCCAGGATTACCTCCCCCACTCAATTGAAAACTACTCTATCAACGGTATCAACACTAACAATATTGGAAAATCTCTCACAAGAACTTTCCAACTAAACATGCTTAATATAGTCCCGTCGAGATTGCATCAGATCTGTTCGAGGGTGACGAGGGACGAGGACTGCTCTCGGATTAATCAAGACTGAGATTAAAAAAAAAAAAAAAAAAAAAAATTCCATAGTCGTTTCCACGTCACCGTCCTTTTTACGAGTTAAGATATTGACTTGGTTGTTCATGATTTTTTCTTCTCTTAAAGAGTATTTCGAGTCTTGAATCAATCACAACAGTCATGAAGAACGAGGAAGAATATCACGAGGCGACGATGATAACTCAGAGAAAAAAGGCGACCTACAAAAAGGGCGGACAACCGCGAGTGATGAGTCGCCATTGTTACAACTGATTGCTGGGTGTGGATGCTAAAGTAAAGCAAGGCATTGCTATCCCAAATCGGTGAATTCCAACAACTTAACAACGTGAAAACGACAATAATAGGAGATCCTTCGGAGAAAAAGCAGTACCGCAGCGGCTGCCCAACTTTACTTCCATCTCTCGATGACAAGATGTTCAATTGAAAACATCGCGTATGTGTGACGAGCTTGAGCAGAGACTCTCACAACAAGGTTCCCGTCGGCATTTTTCCTAAGGGATCGATGACTGAAAAGTCAACCCAGTGTCTTGACTCGTAACTACTGAACGCAGAAAGAGGGAAAATAAATCGACATAGATAATCAAACGGTAAAAGATATCTCTTTTATGAGCGTTAGTTGTCGTTGAAAGATTTGCAGTCAACATAAAATGAGCTGCCAGCAAAGAGAGCATGTCTCACGCACAAGCATCACAATATTACTAGTACATTTACCCTACTATTCTCAACTCCCTAGTCTCCCTTGCAGCCCTTTCCGGCGTCGTTGGCGGGGGAGTGTTCGCTTGCGTGACGCCCTTTCCGCGTCGTTGGTGGGGGAGTTTTCGCTTGCGTGACGCGCTTTTCCGGCGTCGTTGGTGGGGGAGTTTTCGCTTGCGTGACGACTCCGGAAAGGGCTGCAAGCGAGACTATCAACTCCCTGAAGAGTGTATAAACCGTTCTGATGTTCTCTCAGCACCTCTCGATCCCCTTTATTCCAAGAGGTAAATAAAATGAAAGGACAAGACAAGAGTATCCATACAAAAACGATAGTTCTATACGCCGCCCGTACCGAATTTTTAACCCACATATGAAAAATATTACGCTGTCTTTGATGTTTACTTATTACTGTGGGTTGAGTACACTACACTTCCAGTCGGTGATGATTGAGTAAGGGATTTCTAATGGTTCTGCAGGTTCGCACAACGATACACAGATGACGATTTTAACTCGCGCGTTATGGCAAATATTTTAAACATAACCCTCCACGTAATACACAGCAACACACAATGCAGTCGCTTATGCACAGACAAAAATTGGTTATTTTTTCAGAAGCAAGAATTAAATAATCACATCATTAAATTTATTATCTACCGCCAGTCTGTTATCAATAACTACTGTACTTTGAATAATACATAACTAAAGATCGTTCATCTACTTCATATTTTTAGTTACAATTCATTACGACTACCTTTTCACGATGATTAACATGGGCGGTCCTTCGACCTTAAGGATCAAAATGTATTGGGTGTCGTTAAATCTAGCATTTTTTTTTTAAAGAATTTGCAGATTAGCCCTTAATTGACGGTGCCATGCGCTGATGACAATTTTACAAGGTAAAGTAAAACGAACAGTGTTTATCATATTTAGACGGTTTACCCATGACAAAAAGATAATAAAAGTGCGGCAACAGAGTCCATAAATACAACAACAAATTTTTTAAACTTCATATTACAAACTAAAGCGAGTTTGTTTTGATCCACTCCTTGACAACCCCAAGTTGCACCCCTTCCTTAAAATGTTCAAGGGCCACCATGCATTGATTGAATGAAAATTGGGAGCCCAGCTTGTAAGCCAAGCTGGAGCACAAGAAAGGCAATGATCATCTTTACATGATGCTACAAAATTAAGCAAAAAAAAAAAAAAATCACTGTTAATATAATACAGAGATATAAATGAAAAGTTTCTGACAAAGGAGTGATTGAGCACTAACTCCGAGTCACACACCTTATAAATCTTCATGAAAAACTACATATATAAATTTTACAATAAAATTTCAAAGGTTCAACTTCT